GGAGGGAGGGAAGGAAGGAAGGAAGGAAGGAAGGAAGGAAGGAAGGAAGGAAGGAAGGAGGGAAGGAGGGAAGGAAGGAGGGAGGGAAGGAAGGTAGGTAGGTTTGACCCCCAATCTATGTGCCCTTTCTGTCACTGCACACACGTGCGTGTGCGTGTGCGTAGCTGTCGCTGGCACGGCAGGGTGTCTTCCAGCCGCCCGCTTCTATCTGTGCTTTACATACTCGATAAGAACCTGCACCATGTCCTGCTTCACCCTGGCCTTGCATTTAAGAAGGCGGCACTTTCCTTAGCCATGCTCCTGGAGACAGAGTTGTGGGAACTCCATCATCACTTCTTCACCCCCGCGCCAGCTCGGAATCTGGGCAGAGCCTGCCGGGGCTGTGGCCAGTCTCCACAGGGGCACCGCACACAGCCGTCCGGCCTGGCCTCGCGCGCATCAAGGCACGGCTCTCAGGGACCATGTGACGCCAGGCAGCCTCCGCCCTGGGCAGCACGCCCGTGTCCTGGTTTTCTCCGAGGGAGGAAGTTCAGGATCTAAAGTCACTACCACATCTTTGTGCCCTCTCTTACCAGCTGACTAAGACCTCTCTTAAAAACCCAATGAGCAGGGGTTTGAGACTGTTTCTGAGTGAACCTTTTCATTCCTTTTCAATTTCATACTGTTTTTTATTTTTTTGGTGGTACTAGGGATTGAACCCGGGGCCTTTACATTGAGCTGTGCCCCAGTCCCACTTTTATATTTTGAGACAGGTCTTGCTAAGACACTAAGTTGCCCAGGGCAGTCTAGACCTCGGGGTCCTCCTGCTTCTGCCTCCCAGAGTGCTGGGATTAACGCTGTTACCCTCTACTCATGCAAGACTCTTCTGGCTCTTACAGCTTCTGTTACCGGCTTTTTGGTTCTCTGGTACAGATCTGCTGTCTATTTTTCAGTTTTGTAAGTTTTTCTTCCATTACCAATCACTGTAGTGGAATTCAAGTTTGTACATGTTAGTGTCTTTGGCACTGCTGAGTCTGTTTAACACTCAATATTATCTCCACTCCATAATCCAGTCTCCATGCTGGTAGTCTATTGTTTGTGTCGATGAGGGCATTTGTCAGTAACTCAGCCATTCTTTAAAAAACTCATTTTCATTGTCCCTCTTTTTAAGGGCAATTTATTCACATCTTTAGTTGATACTACTATTTCCTCCTTCACTGGTTTCTCCTTTAAAGAAAAGCTGAGTATCTTCTCTGTGCCTGCTGCTTTGTAGTGGGATCTGAAGTTATGTCCGTGGTGTTTCTGCAGGTTACAGCTGGAGCCTCCAACCTTTTCCAGAGAGCTCAGGCTGCAGGCGTGGAGATGTGAGTCTTCCCACCTGGCTGCAGAGGACCGGGCGGTGCCCTGCTCAGCGGTCCTGGCCAGGACACTCTGCCCTGTGTGGCCTGTGCTCGTCTGTGCCCTTGGGAGCTGCCCATAAATTCCTAGTGGGCTGCAGAATTAACTGGAAGACCTCAAAGTGCTTCTCTCCACTCATCGACATTTTCCCTGAAGAGCTTTTCTTAGCAAATTTGGGGAACCAATAAGGAAACTGGATACAACCAGATGGCACTTAGCTGTGTCCTTTTGCTTCTTTTTTCTGGTGCTGAGGATAACAAAGCAGGCAAAACTCCCATTGTGATTCAAAAACCTTTCAGGTGTCCCGAACACAGGGATTTTGATAAACCACAAAGACAGTTTTTACTACTTTCTAGAATGAAAATGATGTCTTTTTCTCATGGGAAATTCACATAAAACTCTTACTCGAAACAATCTACCAACATGCACTTCAATTACGCTTTTCTATTACAAAATAAAAACCGAAACTGAAGGGCTGTCTCCTACTTTAAGAGGAAGCACACAAAGCCCCATGTTGTTCCCTCTCTCACCGTCTGGGTCTTCCGCAGGCTGGATGCTCATGTAAGGTTCCCCTTTCTCCATGCGCGACTGTCTCTGCCGGCTCTCCTCCTCTAGTGCAGCTTCTGCTCGGCTTTTTGCATTGATGTATGCAAGGTACGCGGGGGAGTTATGGTAAGCCTTCATAGATTCATTGTACTCTATCTGAAAGGGAAGGCGTGCGGTCGAGTTAGGCCGGGGCAGGGCACTGCGCACCCGGCCTGAGTACCAAGGGCACCGCAAGCCAGGAGGAGGAGAGGTAACTGCTGTACGGACAGGGGTCTGCGGCCGGGGAGAGAAGCGACAGACGCACTTTACACCCTGTCCACGCCACCTGTGCTCTGGTCCCCACCCTACCTTTTCTGCTTCGTATTCGTTTAAATATTCTTGTTTCTCTTCATCAGTGAGATCTCGCCACATGCCACCAATAATCTTGCCAATCTCCCACAACTTTAGGTCAGGGTTGGAAGCCTTTACTTGGTCCCAGACCTTAAAAGCAAACAGGTGAAATTTCAATACTGATACTAAACATGCAGACATTGAAAAATACTCATATAAAACTTTTAAACATCAACAAAAGTAGAGAGGATAGCATCAAATTCCTCATCAACCAGCCTCAATGGTTAGCGACAGCTGGCTGATCTCACTCCATTTTCACATTACTGGACTGTTTGTTTGAGACAGCATCTCTCTGTGTTGTCCAGGCTGGCCTTGAACACCTGGCCTCAAGTGATCCTCCTGCCTCAGCCTCCCCAGTGGCTGGGACTGTATGTGCATGGCACTGAGCTATCCCAGCAGATATTTAGAGGCAGACCTCAGACATCACGTCCCTTCACTCACAGATACTTCAACGTGACTGCCCAGAACGGCTCCAGCCAGGCAGACACTGGAGACAAGGTAGTAGCCAGTCTACAAGTGGACTGGGAGGACAGTGGTTAATCTGCATAACATAATGTATCAGCACATTATCAAATATGTATGTAATGGTGTGACCAGTATGTAAGAAATTTTTAAATAGTGATTAATATGCACTTTCTTTTAATAAAGATACTGTGTGTGTGTGTGTGTGTGTGTGTATTTTTTTGGTGCCAGGGATCAAACTCGGGTCCTTGTGCTTGTGAGGCAGGCAGTGGAACCACTGAGCTAAATCCCCGGCCCTACTGGGTATATTTTTAAGTGTAATGTAGATTCATCATCAAAATTTTGGAAAATTCAAGGAAATGTAAAGAAGTAAGAACTCCTATAAGCTTACTGCTTACAGGTAGCCACTGTTTTCCAGGCTGTTTTCCCCCAACCAACATGCAGCTGCTGCTATTATTTTTATAAAAATGAAGTATCAACAGATAGCGGCTTGTGTTCCTTCTGCACACAGCAGTGTCCTCCTGTCATTCCATCTCCCACACAGCATGTCACTTTGATGGGGGCAGAGCGTTCTGTCTTAAGGAATGAACTTTATTTAATCACCCTCTCTTACTGGACGTCAGTTCCAGGGGCTCCTCGAGCGTCCCTGCCCACACGCGTCCCTGCCACGCCTGCCCCCACAGGCCGCACAAGCCCCTGGAGGCAGCGGCGCCCCAGCACCCCCGCCCGGGTGCCTACCTTTCTGCTGTACCTCATGTAGGGCATCAGCGGCTTATCTGGTGGCTTTGGGGGTTTTGGAATCGTAATACCAGAGGATGCCTACAAAAGAGTTAAATACACTCATTATTCAACTGCAAGGAGCTCACTGGCAACCTGAGAAACAGAGAGAGCCCCTTAAAAATTCTATTGCGCCTTTCTTCTACTCGTCCATGGGAACAAGAGTCTTATATTTTCTCCACGGAAAATAGCTATCACTGCGAATTCAGAAATGTTCACATCAAAGGAAAAGGACTTTCAGCACGTGACTTTTAGAGTTTACTTGGCAGTTTACTGCCACTGCTCTGACAACAACCCGGCTGTAAGAACAAATGAAGTATTACATAATCACCTACACACCGAAACTGCGCCTAGAGAGCGAACGTCTCACACGGAGGACGTTACCCGTTACCCGCACCCTTGCTGTGCCCCACTGTCACTGCGCATACAGTCAACACTTGATTATCTGCAGCAGACGTCGCGCCTCCGCGCTCTGCACTCACACACCGCTACCCGGCCGCGCTCCTGCGGGCACCCACAGAAACTACCGCCCCAGGACGAAGGCAAATGCACAGGAATTCTGCTCATCCGAGGGCTCTGCCTGTCCCTAGGGTCCTCACCGGGGGACTCTGTCCTCATCCTCGGGAGCAAGGCCCCGGGAACACGGCACGCAGGCAGGCTGATTTCTGAGGCCTTCCACGAAGAACCCCAACCCAGTACATATATTTGTTCTGGAGGAGTACAAACAGGGAAAGATGGGATGTCCAGGAAGGAGGAGGCAGAAGAAAGGAGGGGAAGGAGACACCGAAAAACCTCTCTTTGAAAAGGTAAAGAAAGCGAGTGAGAGAGGATAAACAGAGGGAACAGGACACGTGAAAAGTCAATTCCTGGTCTGGGCTGAGGTCTTGGCAGGTGATAGTGGACCCGCTTGGCAGGGGCACCAGACAAGGCCGCCAGGCCCACAGCAGCTGTCCCTAACTCCTTGGCTTCCCCTAAGCTCACATGGCCGCACTTCAGGAGGGACCCAGGACGAGAAAAGCACATGACCGAGTCTCCCTGCAGGCTGGGGAAGAAGTGCTGGCTTTACTCGAATCACCAAGACTCGGCCTGGCCAAGGCTTGTCAGAGGCCCGAGTGGCTGTTTCTTCCCTCCAGGGCCCGCACCCCACTCCATCCCGGGGCTCAGGGGCTAGCAGGGCGGTGCCCCCGCCACTGGGATGGAAGTGTCAGCCGCATCGGGCCGAGGTTCTCAGGGAAGGTCGGTCCTATAGCCAGCCCAGTGTCAGGGCTTCACGGCAGGAGGACGCCCAAGTGCACGAAGCTCTGGGAAAGTGTTTTCAACTCAGATCCCAGACCAACCTCCACAGCCCCACACGGTGGGCTGCAAATATCTGTGCCCCCATTGGAGGCGGCAGACCATCATTACCTAGTTTCTAAAAAATTAAGAGGTAAAGAAATCTAAAATGCTTATGCTTTTAAACTTTAGGTATGAATTAAAACACTTTAAAACAAAATACAGTCCTATTTTCTGTTTGGTATTTTTCAAAGACTCAGTTTATAACATTAGTGGGTTTGCTCATTTCTCCTTCTTTCTCCACAGAAAGGCACACAAATCATTACATGCTGAAGTCCTGTTTTCATACCACTGGCCAGTAACTCACAACTGCAAGAAACGAAAAAACAAAACCCTCACCAAATATCCAAAATGTTAAAAAGTTAAATTGCGACTGGTTTGAGGGGGTTGTAGTTGATTTATTTAACCTGTCAGACAGACAACTTCCTACAATGTCCTCAGCCCTGACAATGACAATGACAATGACAAGCACACCGAACACACCAACGAACCCCTTCCCTGGAGTCATGGGAACACCACTGCTTTGCCGCCAGTCGAGACAGCGCACCTGCCGCTGCTGCTCTGGCTCAGGGGAGCGCCTGCAGGTCCCTTCCCAAAGCTGCTCTGCTTGCTGCTGTCAGGAAGCCCACTCTTATCAGCACCTCTTCCTCTTTGCGATTTTCTGTTTCCAATTTGCAGTGAGTCGGGGAGAAAAATCCTGACACCTGCTGGAACTGTTCCTTACTCAGCTCTGTGTTGTCTTCCCAATTCTTAGCTCTTTTGCTGTGAGGTCTTAGGTTAGGGTTTTCTTCTGAGACAGAATTTTCACTACAGTAGGGAAACAGGCCATTTTCACACCTAGCCTCAATCTCTTTGTACACTTGTACCTAAGAGAACGTTAATCATCATCGAGTAAAGAATTGACAGGGACGGAGCTGCAACTCAGCTGTCACACACAGTCCAAAAGGTGTCACCCAGCTATGACAGAAAGTACTGACTTCCGGAAAACCACCCAAGCGGCCGGAGCCCTTGGGGACCCCACGTTCTGTGTGGTCCACAGGAAGCTCCCGCTCTACGTAGGGCCTGCCTGCGGAAAACAAGACCAAACAGGACTCTACTGCCCCTCGCGATGTGCGTAACTGGGTCCATCTTACAGGCAGTCAAAACTGAGGAACCCTAACACAGCTGAAATTAGAGACTCACAAAAGACAGAGCGAAACCCCTACATTTCCTAGGCCCTTGGCACAGCAGTTTTCATTACCCTTCAAGCTGGGGTTAAGAGGGTAATACAAAGAAAACAACCAACAACCACAAAGAACCAAAACACAAAATGTCCCATGGACACAACTCTCCTATACTAACCTACTCACTCCAAGTGCTGGGGGATTCTTACCTTCTCTGGAAAGGACAGGAAGGGGAAAGGGAGAAGGACCGGGCCTGGGAACTTTCCTCTTCCTAGGAGGTCTCCACTGAACCCAAGTTAGGAGGGAAATGCTCACGGTCTCACACACGCACACCAAAGCCAAGTTATCGCTGTAGCGTGGTTTCTAGTCCCATCCCGTTAACACAGATAATCAAGAGCTGACTGTATAGAGCTATTAAATATAATCATTCTCATTGACTGCCCATGAATAAATAAATGCATTAACACGAATGATCTGAAATTGATTCTGTTCATGGTTTGAATTGAAATGCTGTTTATCATTTGATAACCTTGCCACCCACAACACTTGTGAAACAACACGTTTAGGCCGGGGGCGAATCGTACTGATGCACATAAACTGTATGCATGGTGAAATGCATACATCAACACGCTTTGGCGGGTTCTTTGTTCAGATACCATGAAATATGCATGGCACATACAACTTGATATGCTTATGAAGTACAAATTATGCAGAACAATGAAAAATTTAGACAAACAAAATCTATCAAGCTAAGCAATGTGCTTACCAAGATAGACATACAGTCTGTTACGAGCTTCAACTGTACTTACTACAGGGTGAGAGGGTTTTCTGAAGTTACATTAATTGAAGGCACTTATTTATTATTTATCAACACAACAAACAAAAACCAGGTGTTAAAAGGTCTACAGCCATTCTGGGTTGCATATATTTTCACCAATACCACATTCCAGTGCTGGTAGGTATTTGACTTTTGGATTTATTTTCATTTGTTACCTAAACTTAAGTAAATGGAGTTTAAGATAATTGTAAAATAAAAACTTTGAAGTATACCATCCAATTTTGATTATCTTAGATTGGCCCCTTAAATGAGACATCCCGAGTTTTGGAAATCATATCCTTGGTAGTACGGACTGGAAATGTACTTCCGGTTGTACATATCTAACCTGACACTTTACATTACTTTCATTCAATTTTTATCCTGCAATTCTTTGAAGTGACATTAAAGTCTTTTTTCTCTTTTCAACTGGGAGAAATGAGTCTCAGAAGGTCAACTATTAAATCCAAAAGACAAATCACTATGTGCAGCAATTCAGACTGGCAGGCTGGCGAAAAGCTTTCCAGCCCTGAAAAAGCCAGCTCTGAGAGCCCAGCCTTGGCTAAGAAGAGTCCTTGTGACTAACGCCAATTACCTTAGAAAAAAATGAAAGATACTCTTCATTTCAAAAATGATTAAACCACAGTGAAACTCTCAGCTTGTCCACTACATAGAGCATAAGCATTAGGTGACCCGGGTTCCATCCCTGCCAACCACCAAACATAATGGACTTTTCTTTTCTTCTGCATACATATCCAAATCTGTTTTTTTTTTTTAAGTCTAAGATCGTACAATGGATGTTTAAAATATCTGAAAAGCCAGGTTTCGATTTTTTTAAATGGCTGTGCTTATGATCCAAAAAGACCTAATTCTGGAGGCTTCTGGTCAATCCCAGCAGTTTGCCGGAGGCTGTAATAGTTGATTCTCCTACCGTGACCCGGCTGTTGGTGCCCGGGTTCCCTCCCAGCCTGTAGTTGTTGTAGGCGAGATGACTGTATGGATTGTATCCCACAAACCCTGGTGTGCTGGGCATTTGCTGATGGAAACAAATGAGACAAAAACACGAATGAGAAATGAGCTCAAACGAGGAAAACACAGAAATGAAAAATGATCTGCATATGGCATGCAAAAGCAACCTGAATTTCAACAAGCAATGATGTGTTGCAATTGATTTTTTTCTTCATTGAGGAAATTAAATTTTTCTTTCATTTGAGAAATCGATCTACAAGTGTTTTCTCTTTCTTTCTTTTTGCAGGGAGTGGGGGTATCTGTGAAAATGTGAATGTGTGTGGCTTGTTTTCTGAGGTAAGCAATACATTGAAGTGTTTCAAACATTCTGGGTTACTTTACGGTCAGTAGTATGACAATAACTTAGCGATATATGATGTCTGAGGTAGGGAAGCTTCAAGTGTAATAGTCTGAAAACACTAGATGCAAAACAAAACATGATTTATTTGACAGCTATGTGGATGCCACCAATGTATTCATCTAATAAAAACAAACACAAGAAATGGATCTGCTTTTCAAAGACAGTTCTAAGTCATTTCATATAATGTGACAAATGAGGAAGAGACTCAAATCAGGAAGCTAGGAGTTGTCAATAGAAAGGAACGTACGTTGGAGTCAATGGATGTCACATACATGATTTCAAAACAAAGACTTGTAAGAAATGCATGGATTTCATTCTGGGGCACTATCTGATCTTTTAAACCCAGTCATCCTTTTATATGGTTTCTCCTCCATCTCTTCTTTGATCCATCTTCCATAGGTCAATCACGAGCAACTTCTGGATTGAGTCTTAATGAAAACTACTTTTCTAGTTGACAAGACTTGAATCTGCTTTTTTCATCTAGTTTCCTGAAACCTCTCACCCTTTCAAAACACGACTGCTTGCTGCAGCAACAGAATTCTTGGTTTTTGTGAATTATATGTTGATATAATCACAAAGGGGCTCTCACATAACAGTGGCCTTGTGGTTAATACATTGACATCCAGTGTTCATGAAAATCAGGGCAAAATGCATAAGAAGAATATAGGAAAGAGACCAACAGTAGGGTAAGTTTACCTAATGGAACGCAGTCAAAACAAGTGACAGTAATTTCATTTACATGCAATTAACAGTCCTGAATTTAACACATCCCAATTAAGCTTGAGTTTGTTACAAAATAAACACAATTTTCAGAAACATGCCACTATATGTGTATACATATTTCTCTCTATATATATATCTTAGGGTCCAAAAGACATTTCAAGCAGATAGCACATTTGATACTTTCCAGGAGAAAAAAGAACTGATCAATTTTTAGCCTATGTAGTAGAGAAGACGCAAATTAAGCATATTTGAGTAGGCAAAACACAGATGAAGTATCAAAGGCACAAAAGAAGCGTATGTCACTTGGAGTGGTACAGCTGAGTGGGAGGAGGTGGTGAAGATGGTGGTGGCAGAAGTAATGGAACAAAAAGAAAAAAAGGAAGGAGAGTGATTCACTTAGCACCTGTTCTGGTGGGCATTCTAATTCCTCGTCTTCTCTATTTTGTGTGTCAGTGTGAAATTATAATGATACAGAAATGTGACTAAAAAAGGCAAAAAATTCCTTTCTGATGAGAAGTCAGGAGGGGATCCGTGGCTTTGGAAAGGTTTTAAGCTCAAAAAAAGGCAAGTCTGTCCTTCAGACGTTATGCACTGTCAGGGGCAGTACTGCCACCAGAACGACAATGAGAGTACAATGAGAATCACTGTTCAACGTGAGGCAACAATTCGAGAAAAACAGGGAACTAAAGAAACGGAAACGGAAGCATTATGATACCATTTCCAAAGCTGGATGAAGGACACGGTTAGCTCTCGGAGGTCCGAACCTCCACTGTTCACCTCCACCTGTGCAGTCACTAGGATGCCGTGGAGACGGTGCTGAGAAATGTTCTGTGACTCAGGGAAGAGAACAAACCAAGCACAGGACTTTAAGGTCTACTGGAATTAATTTTAGAGAGCGTGTTACAGGAATTGAACTGAGAACATATTATACAGTATCGCTTTTTAAAAGTATCTCATTAAGGAAAAACAAATTATTGATCAATGGAACTAAAACATGTATCTGAGGGTTAGTAAATAAGACTCGTTATCTAGTGGAGAAAACAAAGTTAAACAAGGACCTACTTAGTAGCAGTATAAAGTAGACTAGCCTGAAATTTAGGTGGCAGGGGGTATGGAAGGAAGAGCTAACAGCTATTAAGCGATTTTGTAGGATATGGTCAGGTTAACAGTGTTTTTTAAAAAAAGAAACAAAACCAAAAAATCCCCCACTAAAACCATTAAGGAAGTCATTTCAGCAAGGCCTGAACTGTTACTGTTAAATCTGACTTGTGGGTCGGACAATTATTTTACATGCTCATCAAGCAGGGCCAGAGCTTGCTGAGTGAAAAAATAAATTCACAACTGATATGGGAACACTTGGAAATGTTATCAACTCATGAACCAATAAAATATAATTTATGGGCTGGAATAAAATTTAGTAGCAAGATCTGACCCACAGATACTGAAATCCTTACTTGAACAGCTTGAAAATAGAGTTACAGGGCCGGGGATTTAGCTCAGTGGTGCTGCCTCGCAAGCGCAAGGTCCTGAGTTCAATCCCCATACCAAAAAAAAAAAAAAAAAAAAAAGTTACAATGACTGTAGCTATAGAACTAGAAGCTTTATTGTTTGATTTAATATGCAAATTTCATATACAGACAAGAAAGGAATGAAAAATATAACCAGTTGAAGGTTAGGTTTAAAAAAAAAAAAAAAAGAAAAAGCCAGAATGAGCATTCACTCAATATCAACTTAAACTCTTAATAGTGAAGATTAACCATAAAGAAGTGTTAAGACTTGTCACTTAGTTCCCAGTAAGAAAAAAGCAAGCAGAGCATAGGAGGCTGGAATTTCACAGTATGTTGTTTTAAAATGTCGGGGTTTGTTCAAGGTAAGATGCAGAGTTATTTTATTTAGTAGGAAGTGCTGTTTTTTGGCTGAATTTGTCATCCTGTAGCTGTGATGATTGGGTGACTGTCACTGGAAGACATCTGGGTTTTTGTATCAAGGCCAGACTTGGCTATTACATTAACAAGAAAATTAAAACTTACTGTTGCAGGAGCTGGGGTGGGAGGTGGGGCATAAGATGGTCTTTCTGTTTGAAAGAAAATAAATAACTTCTTGTAAACAACTGAGATATAATACTATGCAACAAAACTACCAATGGTCCTGTTTTGAAGAAAAAAAAAATGAGAGTATTTTGGAATTCCCACTTGCTAGGGCATTAGTCTCTTATTAACATAGATTGATAAATAGAAAAATTGAAACTTACTTGACATTTTGGAAGATTAAGTTCTCAGTTCCTTAAGAATGAATCTGAGACACTAAAATAAAAAAAAGGAAAAAAAGGAAAAAAAAAGAGAATCAAAACTCAGCAAGCATAAAAGAATGTTTTCCTAAAGAATAGGGTAGTTTAATTGGTATTTCTGAGTAAAATTACTTCACTATTATTGCTCAGCATCAAGGCTTTTGCATATTTTAACTAGTTCTTGTAGGTCATTTGGTTGATCAGAATTGAATGACTAACAAATTACTGGGGATATTTAGAGTAATATTAGAAATGTAGTTTTAGGTTTTTGCTTATGATAACTGTGCTATGTCTTATATGGAAAACATTTTGCAGATGCCATGTAAACGTTTACTCAGACTGATAAAAAAATAATGACAATAGAATGTGATGTATTATCAGAGTGACCCCAACAAGGCCTACCAGAAACTGACAGCTAGCTCCCGGGCCAGCAGCTCTATTTTGCTTTTGGGATAACAATTTCTAGTCAAATAGAGCAGCGCTTTCTTCCTGAAAACATAGCAAAATGTAACTGGTTATGATAATGAACTTCACATTCTTACGCTGGTAAACAGCTTCAAAAGTGCTGGGAATACATTTTGAGAGTCTCTCTGGAGAACTCTTATTCCTCCTTCACAGCTCATTTCAGAAGTTATTTCCTCAGTGGCACTTTCTCGATAAACTGTTCCCTTATCCGTATTCTTATCAGGTTTGCAAAAATCTGTTTCTTGGAATTTTAAAATCTGCCAGGGAACAGAGACCATCTAATCTTTTACCGTCTTCCCAACACCTAGCTCAACTCTTAATAAATTTGGTCCTAGGAGTACCAGCTCTCAACATGGACGCCTGCGAGCTTGTTCCCTAAATCAATGTACGTCACGAGTGGTAAGGTGGAAAGAGACAAAAATTCGTCTTTAGAAAGAAGGCAAACAAACTTCTGCGACTACTGAAGTACTTTCACCCAACATTATGCCAACAAACGTGCTTTTCTGCTTCTTTGCATCTTAAGGAAACTCCCTGGAGCACCAGGAATAATGCAAATACTGGTGCGGAAAGTTTCTATTTTCTCAACGGTCCAACCTGGATCTGCCCTCCTGGCTCATATTTCGGGAGCTGTCAACATCCGGTAGGCCTTGCTAGGGGGGAGCCCAGACAAAAGCCGCCAGGGGCTCCTGGAGCACACTCGATCGATTATACTTTCCCACGACTGCTCTCCTGGGCTAGCATATAAATTTTAACCCTGGGCCTGCACAAGCGTCCACACTGGACCCATCCCCGATGCCTGGCACAGGAACTCCAGACACATTTGTTGCATGATTAATTACCTTAGACCGGATGCACTTAGGGCACGATCTGGCTCGCCCAGTCCCCACAACCCTACGACCCCTACACTGCTATCTCGCTTTACAGACGATAGAAGGGAGCTCGCGAGAGTTTAAGGAACTCGTCTGCAAGCCACACGGCCCGGAAGTGCCCGGGGCTGGGGTCGCGGGCCCGGGCCCCCACTCGCAGAGGCCTTCGCTCCCCGCTCCGAGCCACGCCCGAGTCCCCAGGGCCCCGCCTGGGCCGAGTCGGGGGCGCAGCTTCCCGCGGGGTGCGGACCGCTCCCGGCCCCAGGCCCGCGTGGGTCGCGGCGCGCGCGTGGGTCCGGCCCCCCTCGGG